TTTTTTTTTTTTTTTTTTTTTTTATTCTTAAAAAAATAAACGATAACATTTTCCGCAGAAATGTACTGCGAAAACAATAATGCAAAAGAAATGCGCAGATAACAGCATATTATTATTATTATTATTATTATTATTATAATACTGAAATTTAGTTATATTTACCGTCTAATCTAATATTACAATACGAAACAATGTCGTCGACAATTATCAACACTGTTTATTAATTCTTATTCACTTCAAAGGGCGCGTATCGCTCCGATACCGTGTAACGATTTTCGAACTTTTTGAAAACGACGATTTATGTTAGTTTCACGCACAGCCTTTTTTTTGTTCTTTTTTTTTTTTCTATCCCCCCCGTTATTATATTGTTTTTCTCGTTTTATCTTTTGTTCGAAATAAAAACCACGTTTTCTCGTGCCTACTGTACGTGTTCTGTCGTTGTTATTATTTTGCATTGTACGCGAATCCTTTGGTTTTCTCTGCGTTGTACCGGTACAGACGTGTTTCCGGCTACAATTCACGGGGCGCCAGATAGCCCGGATAATTTGTCGCGGGTGGGCTTAACGGAGGTTAAGCCGCCCCCGGCCGTTTATCCGCGCCGCGGTGCCCAGCCGCCGTCGGTAATTTTTATTTTAATTGTGTTTTTCTCGCAAACGCCCGCCCCCCGCGTTGCGGTTATTGACAAATTCGGACGTGTGTTTTTTTTTTTTTTTTTTAACAACGCGTTTGCGCGCGCAAACGCATAATCGACGAGTTCAGACACAATCGCCGCGCACCGGCGGTCGTTGCGAAAACTCGGGGGATGGAGAGGAGGGGGGCGAATAAAAAACAATCGAAAATCGTCATTTTCGTTTCGTTTATTTCGGCTTCTCCGGATCAAACGCGACGCGCCCGGTTTATTATTTTTTCACGACCGCCGCGCGCTGTTTAATCGAGTTTCCCGGCGGTTCCGAACGGTTGTGTTTAATAATAATTAATAAACCGTCGTGATTAATTATTGCAACGGTTGTTGTCGCGTCGCGGTGATGGCGGCCAGCGACGCGTGAAAAATATTATTATTTATCGCGGCGTGTTCGCGGTTGTTATAATTATCGTCTGCGGAACGAGCGGTCCCGGGGTGGTTGGACGGCGTAACGGACGACAATGCGAAAAAGCGATAGCGTTCGCTCACCCCCACCTCCCCCCCTCCCACCCCACCCCTATATTGCTATTATTGGCGAACGAATTTTCCCGAAAACATACGCGTGTGCGCGTTAATTTCCAAAGTGATTTGATTTTTTTTTTTTCCCACTTTCGGTTCGGCGAACGATTCCCCCGCCCCCTACACGCGTTGTATTTTCGGCGAAAAGTCGAAAAATATTTGGAAAAAAAACAACGACAAACAAACGCGTTCGGGTAACGAAACGCGCAACGCGTGTGTTGTATGCACGCGCGAAAAAAAAAAATCCGTTTCGAAACCGTGTTTTTATACACGCCGCATACGAAATAGTTAAATAATTACTTCGGTTTTTTGGCGACCGTTTCGGTTTGTCGCAGTCTTATTATTCCGGCGCGTACAAACCGACTATACGTTAACCCGTTTACGCGAGACTCGGTATTCGAATTTCGAAGCGGAATTATTATTTTTTTTTTTTTTTCGACCGTTTATTTCACTTTTAATTTTCTATACCGGGCGGGTATTTTTATTTTTGTTGTGATTTTTTTTTTTTCGAAAATTTGTCTACTACATTTGTCCGCGCTGCGTAGTTTTTTAACCGGTCTCTAGTTTGGCGGACAAAGTAAATTGTACATAACGTCAACGACGTTTATCGCAGCAACGGTTAAATTCAATTTTCGACGATTATTTGCCTCGGCATTTCTTCGAGTAGGAATGTCCAATTTATAATATAAAACTGTACGAGTCCGGAGAAATCGTCGATTTGAAAGTATGTTATAACGTTAGAGCCCGGGACATGATGCACTTAATAAAAATCCGCAAAAAAGCGATTAAAACCGCCGAAAAAGGCTCTATAATGAACTGGTAATATGTTTTTAAAAGCTCTCCGATTTCTAATCTTATAAAGTACAATTTTCGAACACTACAAAAATTATTAACAGAGATTTTTAAATGATATTGTAAGTATTATAAAAAAAGAAAATTACATGTGTTCAATCTAACGCATCAACGACTTATCGGGTGAATATTTTGAAAAGACGTAACAGGATGATGGAGTTTTAATGTAACCTGTATATGACCCTGAGCCGGTGGCTGAGTCTTGCTGTGTGTCCGGGACTGAAGAGGCGGCTGCTCCTATGGCGCATGTAAAACGATGAGGTTATTTAGAGTACTTGGTTAGTCGATTCCATGTACATTTGAGCGTTAAATTTCGCTTAGAACCCAAGGAGTGTTGACTCCACTATGCTATGTAGTTAACAGTAATCATTCGTTGTATCCCATCTACGATGGTCAAAATGACTAATAATTTTAGTTCAAATTAACTTCATACTGTATCAGCTACGTCACTATTGTTAACGTAACTGTATTAAGGAGTTGAAATGACTATACTGATTCGGTTGATAAAATGTGTAAAAAAAAAAAACGTCGTAGGATAGGGATAGGGACGGTGCAACCGCTGTTATAGGTAATTTAAAGTATATCTGTAAGCAACGATAAACCATTGTTTACGAAAAAACAAATTCTGAGCGGAGCACAGTTGATAGTGATGCTTTGTCAACAATATATGTAATTTTATAATCAAATAGGCTTTAAATATTTTCTTTAATAATATCTGTTTAATGTTTTACCGGTTTTCTCAGTTTTTCCCGATTTCAAATGTTTTATCCTGGTTTTTCACATTTGCTGGGAAAACTCTTTTGGACATAATAAACATCTTTGTAAAACCAATATATCTCTCGCTCTACTCGGAATTTAAAATAAAGAATGGTTACAACATTAATCACTTAAACTTTGTGTTAATAAAATGAAGAATAGTTGCAACATAAGTTATTAAAACTCATTCATATTTGAGTGTTTATTAATTACTTTGCGTGTTACGGTGGTGTTTCCACGAGACTGCAGCCCCTCACTATAACTAAATTTAGGAAATCTTAAATTATTGTTTTAAGTACTTAATTTTAAACGTGTTAATTTTGTTTGGAACGCTTGTTCCATCCAACATCCATTTAATCCGCCTTCTATTTTTTTTTTTCCAAATCAAGCATTGATAATCGTCGCAGTCGCAGTCGTAACTGATAGTGTAAAATTTTTCGCATCAATCCTCCGGTGCCGACGATTCAAACTGGAGTGGACTGGAGCAGGGGAGGGAGAAAAAATCGTGTTTATTAATAAAAAAAAAAAATTATAAAAAAAATCGACGCGCGCTCATTTTACGGGACGTTATTATTATACAGCGTTTTATAATAATAATATTAATAATACGTATACGCGACTAACGACTATTGTCGTCTGCGTCGGTAGCGGTTGTTTAATATTATCATATTTTTACAGTTTAGTTTTTTATAAAAAAAAATATTTAAATATCGCGATAATTTTTTTATAGAAATTATTTTGTACGGTCGTGTAAAAAAAAAAAAAAACCAAACAAAAATACGAACCACTATTCCGGGATACTGGTGCGTGTTAATTAATCGCGGTGTGTTCCTCGCACACCGTTTACCATATTATTATTATTGTTACCGTTACATTTAGTGGCGGATTTACGGGGACGGACCGGGGACAGACACTGATATAATTTCAATAAAATGTCGCCCGAGTTCCAAGTGATTTCACTCCCAGTTATACTTCCAGTAGGGCCACCGGCGAGTCCGACGATTTCCGCTATCGTGTTACTTGAGAGGCCTGCAATGGACTTCGAGGCAAATGCGTTTCCCCCATCCCCAATGTTTTTCCCCGAAATTCCGGGAACCTATAGCCTTTTTGGTTCGAAACACTTTTTGGTTTGAATCGTAATCGACAGTGAACTTTTTAAATTTATATCCCTTTTTTTTCGACATTTTCAATTTGTTATGCGTTTTATTTTTGTAAAAAAAATATTCTTGTTCTTATTTTCCGTCGCATTTTACGTGATTTTTAACGATTCCTAATTTCTATGTTGCACTTTTGCCCCGTGTGATAATAAAGTAAAATATAATCTAAACAACATTATCATTTTTTTTTTTTTTTTTTTTTTTTTTTTTTATAAAAATAAAACAAGAAAAAACATTATCAAAATATAAACTAAATAGCTATACTAATATTTAAATATAATTTAACGATCGTATAAGTTGAATAAATAATACGTAACTGCCTAAGCAAAAACTATTGGCTAGTAGGAATGTTTTCGGTTTCGTATTATTATTTTTTTTTTTTTTCGTAAATTGCTTATCGTTCATTAAAATTATAGGCACGTTTTTGAAAAGGGGTCTACGGATTTAGAGGTAAAGGCATAAGCAGAATTCAATAATAGTTGCAATGGACGCTAATATTTGTTTCGTATAGTCTCGTATAATAATAGTATTTAGTCCGGCCCTCTTCTGCTATTTTTACAATGATTCGAGCACTGCAATACGCGGCTGTGGCAGTATCGAATTAAGAGGGATTACTAGCCGTGAGCGGTGGGTAAGGGAGGTTGTAAAACGAAGGGGACCTCTATGTTTCGTCTATTTTTTGTTTTTTTTTTTTTTCGATTTTCTTTAGATTCAAAACCAATTTTATTATATATTAGTTTTACAAAGACGTGTTTTTATTCCCGGAAAACACATTTTCGGTTAGTAAAAGTGCTCAGGTTTTTTACACTGTATACCATCTCATATAATGACGATGCCGATTCACTCCCCGCCGGCATTATTGTATTCGAAACATATACATCGACATTTTTAGAAATCCACTCCCTAAGTATTTTGTTATTCGTGGGACTGCAAATATGTCTGCTATAGTCAGTATTGATACGTTTATAATATTGTAATTACATTAAATAACTGCTCGTGCACGCATTATAACTCCGAAAAAAAAACAAAAAACCAAAAACGACTTCTTTAAAGTCTCTCCCCGGTGAAATTTCCTTTAAGACAAATTGCTATTATTATGATTTGGGGCAAAATTGCTGGTAGAAAAGTCGTCTACAGGATAAAAAAAAAAAATTGTAATATTATTCAAATATATTTCTTATATTTTCCGGTTTTTCCTCAGTTTTTTTTTTCTTCGGTTTTTCGCATTTGACGATAAAAGTCTGGCGAAAATTGCAAAACGATCCCTCTAAAGTACCTTCTCACACCGATTTCCTTTCAGAAAAGGTGCTCTACGTAAAAATCTGAGCAAGGTTTATTGTAAAAAAGTTGCGCACAGATAAATATAGAATAAACATCTTTGTAAAACTATAAGCTTCTTTGCAACACTCAGAATCTAATATTATTTAATTTATATTGGGTTCATTCAATGACTGTCAG